AAATTTTCAAATCTCTGATTTTAATTGTACCACAACCTGTGCAATAAAGCTAGGCAGATACGATTATCCTATATGACAGGTGGGAGTTTCATTTTTGATGTACGTGAACTAAATTGGGATTCTTAAGAGGCAGTCATTGAATTTGTATAGGTAAAGTTGGGATGCAGTACATGGTTCATGGAATACTGTAGTTCTCTTGGCCTGAATTTTTTAGTTGATATAGTAGTGAAAGGGGAATTCTTCTATTCCATGGCTTAAGGACACATAAACTCTCAATGCAGCAATCTTTTTATTGTTGATTATTATAGCTTCTGTTACTCCTAGAAGTTGACCAACAGGGACCTCGGTTTAAGAGATTTTGTCATTCAGCTTTCATACAGTAAATGCTGAGGCCAGCCCTTTGCCTGCAGGGGCCTGTATCAGTGAAGAGAATCTGTGACTTCTTTCCTGCCTGCCGAGCAGTGGGGAGAAGTCAAGGATTTTAATGTTCTTTGTAAATGAATCTATGTGCTTGAACCTGATAGGCACTAGTACTACATAAGGTCTGTCTGGAAAAAGTCCAACCATTTTAATATAGTGAGAACAGTTTGCGTGACATTGATATAACCTGGCAGCCAAGGAGCGTGGACTGGAATGCTCATGCACGAACAATGATGACTTCACTATACTAGTCAGTGGGGGACTTAGATGCCATTGAGTGGCCATGTGTACTGTGTGGCCATCGCATTTGCATTCAAATTGAGTGAATAGTGCAACGAATCTGCATCAAATTTTGCATTAAGCTTGAACATTCCTCTGGAAACTATTTAGATGATTCAGAAGGCCACAGCTGTGGGCAACAGGTGATTAGCAGCTTCATCATGACAACACACCTGCTCATGCATCATATCTCCTGCAGAATTTCTTGAGGAAATGTCAAATCACCCAGGTGATTCAGCCCCCCTACAGCCCAGATTTGGCACCCTGTGACATCTTGCTTTTCCCAAAACTAAAACTGCCTTTGAAATGAAAGAGACTGCAGACAGTCGATGAGATTCGGGAAAATATTGTGGGGGAGCTGATGGCAATTAGGAGAACTGTGTGAGAGTCAAAGGTGCCAACTTTGAAGGAGACTTGCAGTATCCTTGTCCTATGTACAGTGTTTCTTGTATCTTCAATAAATGCCTTTATTTTTCATAGTACATGGCTGGATACTTTCTGGACAGACCACAGCCTATTCTCCTTGGAGCATGGGAAGACCTTTGTTGCAACATTTCAGTCTCCTTCTCTAATTCTTTCAAGTAGCAGAAAACAAGTTCCAGAATTTTTTAAAAGAATGCTGTGTATGCTTTTTTAAAAGCTGGGTAAACTTGTTCATTTAGATAACAAACTTCAGATGTAATACATTATTACAGTCTTCAACTTTCTTTGGTTTTCCAAAGGAGAGTTAATTGGGTAAAGTTAAATGGGAAATGAGCTGAAGAAGCCAATATGTGTTGTGTATGGCTGGATTTCTGTAGGCTGGAGGTACATGTATGATCCATACTTTGTGGCAGCTTTTGAGATTGCATAGAAGAAACATGTAAAGAATTCACAAGTTCTTTAACAGTTAGTAAAAGTTAAATATTTAAACATGGGAATGTAGTCGATGGATTGCAGCTTAGTTTAGAACCTGCTTTTTAAATTTAAAATACTTTTTTAAGATCATAAAGAAAACCTTAGAAATTTAAATATAATTTGCAGGGAGAAACAAACTTGCAGCCCAAAGTTTAAGTAGAAAACTGTGTGTGCTTTTGGGTATTTTAAAGGAGATTATCTAGTAAGTTTTGAAGGACAGAAAAAGTTTTACATCTTTTTCAGAAATTGAACATTCAGGATGGCCCTGAAACACAGGGTGGGGCAAAGTAGGTTTACAGTTGTATTTGAAGCACAGAGTTTATTCTTATATATTTCTTTATTCACTATTATGTTATTTTCCATATGAGCAACGGTAAACTTACTTTTGCCCCACCCAGTATTTAGCATACATGAAGATAGTAACCCAAATGGCAATCCTTTCTACTCTGTTACTTTTTGTCCAAATTTCCTTTAATTTTTTTCCCTTCTGTAGAAAATGCTCATAAATGTGAATTTAGAAGGGAAAAAGAAGTAGAAGTTATAGCTTATTCCATTAATTTTGTAATTATATTTTTTCCTCGGTGTCTTTAAGTGGCATTTACCAGTATGGGTAAGATTAATTGTTAACAATACAAACCAATTTGAAAATTGGTTATTAAATTGAGCTATAATATGTAAAACCTTATGGTAATGTGCAGATCTGACTATATTCAAGTGCAGTTTTCATACCCACACCAATTGTCTTGTAATAATCGGGAATGCATCCTCTGTGTGGTATTTACAAGTTAATGCCATTTTAGAAATCACACCAGTATATCTAGTGGCTTTCCTGGGTGTATGTGGCTCATTAACGATTATAATTTTAATTTGAAATTTTAGTTTAAGGGGATGGGGTAAGCCCTTTCAAATTCTTAGTTGTTAGGAGTTTTGATGGAAGATAGGGATGTGTGAATGAGGAGGAAGATTAGAATGAGTTACAATAAGGAAAGTCAGATGATAAGTAAAGCAAGTATTATTCATACTGCAAAAATAACACAGGATCTCATATAAAATTAAGGAGACAAACATTTAAAAGAGGAATGACTTAAAACTTACAAAGGACCATTCACAAATACAAGTAAATATGCATATTTTAATAAAAAAGAGGAGAACATGCAAGTGGCTTTAGTGTGGCTGAAAGTGTTTGAGCCATCATCCACTTGAGAAGGGGGTGGAGAGAAGTGACTAGCTATCTTCCAGTACCTATTCAGTTTTCTTCCATTATTTCCTTTTTCCTCTTCTGTATTTTCATTCTCCCTTTTTATATATCCTTCTTCCTCTTCCACTTTTCTCAAATACATTTTCTCTTTCAGAATGATACTTTCTTCCATCCAGCACACAGAACCAGTTGCTTAATAATGTGTACATTGTCTCTTATTAGCAATGAGAGAAACTCACTAACAACATTAAACATTTTAAACATAAAAGAATTTAAGGTTGACAGAATGTCACTTGAATGTAAAGAATTTTAGTCTTTTTTGTTCACTGGTCTATCCCTGGTGCCTAGAACAATGCCCAGCACAAAGAAGATATTCAATAAATACTTGTTGAATAAATGACTAAAATATTACTTAGAAATGTTTAATCTCTAGCTAGAGTGCTAGGCCAGTTAGAAGCACAGAGAAGGTGAGTTAATGTAGGAAGGGAAAGGTCAGATTAATAGAGTGCTTGGATTTCATACGGTAGATACAGGGAGCCATTATGAATTATTGATGAGACTGACATGATAACAGAGTGAACACAATTACTCTATTTAGCTGCTGTTTGTAAAATGGATCGTAGCTTGAGGTGAAGAAATGTTGGAAACAGTAAACAGTTACAAGATTGTTGTAGGAGTTCAAAGTGATTCAGCTGTTTTGGCTGGTATGTTAATCCAGTGATATCTTTAGCAGATACCCTTCTTTGACATCTGATGTCTCCGCTTTATACTTAGGGATGGATGAAGTCAGGAGGAAGAGTTCTTCCCTAAGTAATAGGCCAGGATTCTAGTTCCTACTTCTCTACTTTCTAAATTCATCATCATAGATAAATACTTAATTTTTCCTGGGCATCAATCACAGTAACTATAAAATGACGAAATAATGATCTGAAAGCAGGGGTGTAGACCAGATCATTTTTTGGTGTCCTTACTATTCTTATATCAGTTACAGATAGTGTGAGCAATGAACACTATATTTTGTTTCCTAATATTAATTCTTACAACTAGAGTATTTTAAGAGGAAAGTCCCATAATGACAGTTAATATTTCCAAGCTTATAAAGTTTAGTATTATGTGCATTGACTGCTGTATTTTAAAACATGTATTCCTGTTTTTTATATGTGCTATTATCAGGTATTTAATTTTTTTAGTATTATTAGGCTGTAATAGTACCCAAGCTGATGAACAAAACTTCAGCCTGGGATACTTTTAGGGAAACTTGAAGAATATAAAACTGCTTCTAAAAGATAAAGTGTTTTATAAAGCTATAGGAGCAATAACACTAACATTGTTTAGTCAATATTACTAGAAATCACATATTCTACCTTATTTTGCTACTGAATACACTATATGTGTATACATTCACACATGCTTTTTCTTTTTTCTTTCTTTTTCTTTTTTTTTTTTTTTTTTGCTTAGAAGGTCTTAATACCAGCAGCATTTGGGGTTCTCTTTCTTTTTCTCTTTTTTTCTCCCCCTTTTTCTCCTTCTTTGGTACTGTTTTCCCTTCTGTTTGGGTTGTTTCTTGCCCTCCCCCCTCCCCTTTAATCCATCTGGAAGATGAAGAAGCAGCTGCTATGGTAACTATGCATTTTGGTTAATGAATGGCAGACTAACAAGATACATAAAACATGCAAACTGTGCAGAGTTAGTTGCTGTCAAAGCTGTAGGGGTATAATACTTTCCCTTCTTCCTACCTTTTAAAAAAAATACTTTAACTTTCCTGTGGCATTTTGTTTTCTAATTTACCATTCATAATATCAATATGCTAATATGAACTATTTCTTTTTCTGCTTAGTCTGCACCTTTTCACCCTGTGGTGAATTTATGGGAGATGAGTTGAGGTGCATAAAGGAAAAAAATGATTAATTGGGTTAAGAAGTGGATTTCTTTTAGACTCATACGTACATAGAAGAACAGGGACAAAATTTTTTACTAAGTGTTTAGTCTTTGACTTACATTTTTCCCCTTGCTTTTTGGGTATTAGCGCCCCTTTTGAGTCTGTCTCTGGGATTAGAACTAATGAGTAGTATGCTTCTTGAAGATACTTCTATCATAAAGGTCAGCTACAATGGCAATATTGCATTCAGCCAAGCCTTGAAAATTCCTGTAATCTGTACCATCCTGTCTCATGCTGTCCCATCTCATAGTTGTCCTCTCTCTGCAGTGCTCTATGCCCAGGTCTCTGTGGCTGGGCTGCTCCAGCCTGGCGGACAGCATGCCTTCGCTGCGATGCCTGTATAACCCAGGGACTGGCGCACTCACAGCTTTCCAGGTACTTTCTCTGTCTCTGTGCGTTTGTTATTTGCGGGCTTTATTTAGTGTGTGTCTCTAATTCATGAGTGTGTCCCTCCTTTTCCATGCTTTACTTATGTTCATCTTTTTTCTTTCACATTGTCCGTATATCACATCACTCAGTACTCCTTTAATGATTAATTTCTAATGTAGATCCAGACTTATCCACTCTTAAAACATTTTTATTATCATGATTGGTTTGCCAAAATTGAGACCACACAACTTGACAGTTGGTTTTCATATCTAGTAGAAGTATGATAATAAATTTTAAAGTAATCTCAACAAATAGCATTCAATATGTAATGTTTGCTCTGGACCTACATAAAGCCAATTAATTTAATTAATCACTTACAGCCAGTTACTCAAATACCTTCTTATGTTTTTCTTATGATCACTAAAAATAAAAAGTGCTCTGTCAGAGTGTCTCCTGGTTTATATGTATAAAATCTTTTTTGAGAGGTAAGAACTGTGTTAAATTATATCTTGATTAACAGGTCTAGTGTCAAGGTAGAGAGGCCCTTCAGACCTTTGAGTTCAGTATTCAGCTTAAGACAGTCAAGCTGCTCTTGTATGGACCAACAGATTTTACTTCTCCTCAGCCTTTCCTCGAGGCCATTTGTTCCACTGATCACAAATCAACGGAAAGTATTTGGTGGTTTGGGGTTTTTTTGGCAGAATTATTATCTATCCACCTCAGGTATTTGGAATTTCTGTTCACCATTTGATAGCAATACACAGGAAATTAGTTTTTAAGTTTATTTTTAACCTATAAACTTACATTTTATTTAGAAGAATTTCAAAGACAAGTAGTAAGCATCAGAATGCTATGACTAAGCCTTAGTTAAAAGAAGGGAACTTAAGTATTCCACATTCCTGAACAGTGCTAAGAGTTGATAGTTTTTAATGATACTGTTTTAGTGATGATAATGCTGAATATTTCTATTTGTCCTTTGCAAAATATAATATTAAGTTTCCTTTGCTTGTATTACGAGGTACAATATAGTAAAGTGTGTAGACGTTAAAATTAGTTAAGTCAGGGCTTACATATTATCTGTCACGAGTGGTATGATCTTGAGCAAGTCATTTAATCCTCATGTTCCTCATGTAAAGGGAGACTGTAGTAAGGACATGCAGTACATGGTTGGTGTTTTTATCATCTTCATCATCATTAGCATCATTGCTGTTATTGTTAGAGAATATTGATATCCTGAGAATATCAATTTGTTTCATATATCTTGTATTTTTTACTATGTATTGTATTGAAAAAGTTTCTACTTTCAAGGAACTCATGATCTAGCTTATTGGTTTTTAACCGGTTTTGTTGTTTGTTTGGTTTTTTTTTTTTTTTTTGGCTTGCAATGAGTTTAACCAAACTGCAGTCTGTTAGAATAGTCCCTACCAGACTGCCCTCACTTGAAAAACCAGTTGCAAGTTTAGGAGTCTCCACGACCACCCTCAGGTTCGATAATTCACCAGAAAAGACTCATGGAATTCACTGAAAGCTATTATATTCATATTTTATTGCATGAAGAGGGCACAGGTTAAAATTAGCCAAAGGAAGAGACACAGAGCAAAATCTGAAGGGGTCCAAATGTAGAACTTTCTGTCATCCTCTCCCCATGTAGTCATCGATGGCATTACTGCTTTTGCATCACAGTATGTGACAATACATAGGATATTGCCAACCAGGGAAACTGACCCAAGACTTTGGTGTCCAGAGTTTTTATTGGAACTCAATTACAAAGTGCCCACATACTGACCTTTAGTCTCTAGCCCTTCCTGTCAATCACACTAATGCTTTTAGTCTCCATTTCCTCTCAGTATTGGAACTGCTAAACTGTGGCACAAAGCCGCCATCCTGAATCACATTTGTCTGGTGGCCAAAGACCCTAGGCAAACAAAGGCACTCCTGTTAGGTAAGAACTTACAGGCCTAGATTTCACCTCCCAGTAGCCAAGGGCAAAGGCCAGAACTCATTTGGGGTAAGGTTAATTTTTCACTACACATAGGTTATGTACTCCTTTGAGGATCTGATGAAAACTATTGATCTTGGAAAAATACTGCCACACATAGGCAAAATTTTATTTAATAGTTTTATATATGGGATTATTATATTTATATTTTACTATGAGAAAGGTAATAAGTCACATAATCCCAAAAGTATTATCTCCCAAACTGATAAATCTATGAAGGAAATGTGCAGGGAGCCATAAGAACATATTAAAGAGGAACCTGATCTTACCTGAGCGTGGGGGGTAAGGAAGATCAGTTGATCAGTGTTTGCATAGGAATTAGTGAGGCCTAAGGAAAAGACAGTGCAAAGGCCCTGTGGACGGATGGAGGTTGGTGCATTTAAGGACTCTATTGAAAAAAGACTTGTATCAGAGAATGAGGAGAATGGGGATTCTTGATCATGCAGGATTAGTCTTGATGCTAAGAGAGTAGAGAGCTGTCAAAAGGATTTAAACACAAGTTTGACGTATTATATGTGCATTTAGATTCATTACTCTAGCTATAATTGGAGAGAGAGGTGGTGGTAGTTTTGTTTAGTCCCAGAATACCTTTGCATTCTTAAAATTATTGAAGATGCTGCCCTGGCCAGTATGGCTCAGTTGGTTGGTCTGTTGTCCCATAAACTGAGGGATCATGGGTTGATTCCCAATTGGTGCACATGCCTGGGTTGTAGGTTTGGTTCCAGGCCTGGGCGCGTGTGAGATGCAGCCAATTGGTGTTTCTTACATAAATGTTTCTCTCCTTCTCTCTCTTCCCCTCTCTCTAAAAAAAAATCAATGATCATGTTCTCAGATGATGATTTTTAAAAAATTATTGAGGACCTCAAAGTGCTTCTGTTCATGTTGATTATATCTGTCGATATTTTACTATATTCAAAATTATGAGAAAAAATTAAATATTAATCTATTAATTTATTTAAAATAGCTGTAATAAACACATTACATGTTCATGCAAATAAAATATTTTTATGAAAAATAACTTTTTAAAAATAAGACTGGAATTGAATTACATTTTTATGAATCTCTTTAATGTCTGGATTAATAAAAGACAGCTGAATTCTCATTTCTGTTTCTGCATTCAGTCTGTTGTAATGTGTTTTGGTTGAAATATATGCAGAATATCTAGCCTCACATAGATAGTTTGAAAAGGGAGAGGTATTTTAATGCCCTTTTCAGGTATTCCTAATTGCTAAAAGATTAGTTGCAGTATACAATATGAAATCATCTCACTGGACTTACTGTACTCTGCTATGTTAAAATACATTGTTCTCAGTCTTCTCAACAAATCGTGCTGAAACAATTGGTCATCTAAATGCAAAATAATGACCCTAGACTGTTGACACTACATTATGTATAAAAATATTAACTCAAGCTGGATCATAGTTGTAAATATGAGCTAAAATTTTAAAACTAACAGAAGAAAGTGAGGAAGGAAAAAATCAAATTATGGCCTTGGATTAGACAAAAGATTTCTTTGATAAAACCCCCAAAACATGAACCTTTAATCAATGATAAGTTGGACTTAATACAATTGAAAACTTTGCTTTTCAGAAGACACTTGAGAAAATGAACAGATAAGGCACTGACTGGGAGAAAACATTTGTAAAATACATTTCTGAAAAAAGACGTATTCAGAATATGTAAAGAACATAATAAGATAAACTACTCAATAAAATAATGGGCAATTAATAGGCAAAAAAAAAAAATTGAAAGGATACATTACCAAAAAATACGCAAATGGAAAATAAGCATATGAAAAGATGCTCTCTATTTTTAGTCATCAGGGAAATGCAAATTAAGACCACAGTGAGACACTACTACATTGCGACCCAATGCCTCTTCCCACCTTGGAATGTTGGAATGGGAATTCTATAGACCACAGGCAGTTAATACATTCTAGTGTAATAATGAGAAATGTGCTAGAAAATGCCTTTAAAGCAGAATTCTTACACTTACCCACTGACCTCTGCAGTTCTCTATAGAGTACTTTTTAGTAGTTGGGGCTCAATAAATACTGATGATTTGAATTGTATTAAATAAATAGTAAAGATTATCATATGTAATTGAAAATTGTACAAGTCCATCCTGGCCGGGTGACTCAGTTGGAGCGTCACTCTGTATACCAAAAGGTAATGGGTTTGATCCCTAGTCTGGGCACCTACCTAGGTTGCTGTTCAGTCCCTAGTTGGGGCATGTGGTAGGGGAGAGTTGAGGGGGTGGGTAACTGATCGATGTTTCTCTCTCTCCCTTTTTCTCTCTAAAATTAATAAACATATCCTCAGGTTAGGATTTAAAAAAAATTTTACTAGTTAAAATCATCTGACTTGGAACCCAGATACGAACAAGAATTCAAATTTTCATTTGGTTTATAGCTATCTTGAATCTAAGGTCAGAAGGAAGAATTCTGAATAAATTCACCATCACTTTCAGGGTCGTCTCTATTTGGTCTTAATCTAAAATTAACATGTTTATTTTTAAAAATTTGTTGAGTCCCCTTATAAGTTGCTTCTTCTAGAGTATATTTGAAGAAAAGTTGATTTAGAGATTTTACTGGAAAATTCAGAAATAAATTTGAGCATTTGGTCCTTGAATTATATTGCAGGAGTGAGATTGTGTGGTACAGGCAGAAAAGAAATGCTTAGAAAAGCAGCCCAAAGGCCGGTGTATGGCACCGTGATTAAGAGCATGGACCCAGACCAGACTGCTTGAGACTGGAGCCTGGCTCTATTTAGATACGATCTTGGGCAAGTGCTTGACCTTTCTAAACCTCAGTTTTCTTATTAGTAAAATGGGGCTGGAAATAGGATCTCTTACAGAGTTGTTAGGATTAAATTAGTTGATTTATATATTAGGTCCATAGAACAGTGCCTGGTAGATTATTGGGTTTTAGATTATTAGAAGAATGTGCAGAAGACTAAGTTGAGAAGCTTTCAGCAAATACTGATTTTCAGCCAGGTATAAAACAGTA